GAGCTCACTGCTCTGCAAGGTGGAGATGTATGCCAAGTCGGGATCACGGTCCACTGTTAAGTAGCGGTTTGTCACTTGCCATTCACTTGCCTGGGCTGAGTTTGCGCGTGGCCAGCCATTCTCTAATATTCTTCTAGGGAACGAGTTAGTCTGGACAAACTCAGGGCATATTGAGATACACTGATTGATTTGTGTCGGAAGCATGTCCAGGACGGCAAGTGGGTGTCGGACACGGCCATCGCACTGTACCTGGACAGCCAGTCAGTCAGGACCCTACAAGTACGTGAAGGGCCACCATCGAGCAACAGCTTTGCACGCCGTCTTCACGCACAGCCCGGGTCTTATCATTCCTTGGCCAAATGACGTTGCATTCTGCGCGCTAGGTTACTCGTGTCACTCAGAGCCACCATGCTGGGCTTTGCGCTTGGCAGCAATCATACCAACAAAGCTAGAGGCACGCAATGGCCCAAGTGCGTTCAGACATGTTCAAAAAGACTTGCAGATTGGATTGACACGCACGGTCTAGAGAGATGCGCATGTCTGCACATTGTCTGCACTGCGTGGCGCCAGGCGGCCGTCAATCCTCAGCACGCCTGTGCTCAGGGCCTGGCTGACTGCCTGGTGGCAACATTTTCCACGCAGAAGTGGTCCTATGTTGAGCTGCTGTCGCTGTTTCGTGACGACGCCAGTCCTCTGAGCCAGATGTCCCTCCAGGACACGTCGGGGCACTGCAGGTGACGGGATGGTGATGGGCACGTGATGGGAGCTCAGGGCTTTTCCATGCTTTTGGACAAGGCTCACGAAGAGGGCGAATGTTTCCGTCACAGAGGCACACTGATGCTAGCCAGTTACTTGCCCAGACTGGGCCAGACCTGCTGCGTGTGGCTTGGACATTTAGGAGCACACAGATACACACTGGCTGCGCTGCGTAGTTGTGATGCATCGCGATCTCCATGCTTGTTTCATTTTGTTTCATTGCTTGTCCGCTACATGACTGAGCCCTCCCCCCTCCCCAATATGCCCCAATGGCCACCCCTCTGGGCGTGTCCATATTCACTCATATATCTAGAGAGAGCCATGTCTCCAGGTATCGCCAGGCAGTTAGTGAATGTTAGCGGCTTACCATTCAGGGCCTTATTTGGCCACTTCAGAACACTTGCTTAGCACGATCTCAACACGGGCGGCTTCTGTCAATGCTGATTCATGCTATAGGGTATTATGACATGCTGAGTGAGCGCAGGACTCTCAGCAGCTGGTTGCCAAGAAGGCGCCCTCCGCCCACACGAACGTCGACTGGAAGCGACTGAAGGAGCTGATGACCCGCGTCGATCCGCCAGTCATCCAGGCCTGGCGGCACACAGTGGGTTTCGATCGAACCTGATAGTTTGTAACGTTTGCTGCCCTACGCGCAAGTGCGCCGCAGGTCCCCCATGGTCCCCCCTTAAAAGCGGGGCTTGGGAGCATTTGGGAGCGGCTTGGGAAAGCTCTTGCCAGGAAATGTTGACAGACAGCCCGCGGCGCTCCGAGTACCGGCGTGTGTCTATATGTGTCTGCCCCTGACCGAGGCCCTGAAGGAGTGGCAGGACGCGCGCAACGTCAGTCAAGATGTGCTGCCTTTGTCCTTCTGGAGGGACGCCAAGTACATGTTACCGCCAGTCCAGAAGGCAGCCAGGTCAGTACAACACCAACTGGCCAGCTGGCCTTTGTGAAGCGGTACTTGGCAGAGCTGGGCAAGAACCACGGTCTGGGCTTAGCATGTTTTCGGTGCGTGTGTGTGTGTGTGTGTGACCTTTTAGCATTTTCCAATGTTGGCATTGCGGCTACGCGCGGCTGTGTTCTCTCGGTGTGTTTCATGCATAGTTGCGTGTTTCATCTTCTGTTCTCTGGGTGGTTTTCTATTTTTATTTGCTTCTGTCATTATGCCACGACTGCTTCATGATAGCACCCTAGGAGCAGGTGGGAGGCCCACTGGTACTTTTACAAGATTTTCCGGCGAGGTAATAGTGTTGAGGTTGAGGTCATGATAGGCCATGTGCCCAGTCAATCCCAGTCATGTTTTTCAAGATCGCCAGTCCAAGAAGCCCAACAGCTCAGCCAGTGCCAGCGCAGAAGCTGCCAGTCAAGCGGGGGGAGCTGCGCAGGAGTCGCAGAGGCTTGAGTGGCACACGTTGTCCCAGCGCTTCGCCAGTCATATGGAGCTGCGCGAGGTGAGGGACTGCGACGAGCGTGAGCGGTCTGTCCTCCTGGAGGCGTTTGCTGCTGGCACCTTGGACAAGCAAGTCATGGGTCAAGCGTCTGCCCTCCAGTGGCACCCACTGCAGAAGCTGCGCCAGGGCGAGCCCCGTCTGCACCTGCGTGCCATTGTTCTCTTGAGGGTTGCGTCATATTACATGGAATTATGGGTAGGCAGGGGCGTGTGTAGGCAGGCCTGCCTGTTTCCGACGGACGCGAGCCAAGGACCACGCGGCAAAGGCAGCTGCTGCGGCCGAGACCGCCCGCCAGTCAGCCGCAGCCGCAAAGCAGGCGGCCCTGGAGTCTCGGGGAAGGTCTTCGTGGCTGCGGCGCGGTGCTGGCACGCGGAGACAGTCCGCACACTGCTCAACCAGGCGAAGAACGTCAGTCAGGCCGGGGAAGTCGCCAGGAAAGCGCGCATCGAGGGAATCGGGGCAAAGAGCATGGTCTACGAGTCAGGCATCAAGGACGCCCTGCCCGGCAGTTTCTTGTCCACGCTGCGTACATTTTCCGTAGCCCAAGTGGTTGACCTGAACCTGCTCTTCGACAGCGCTGACCGCGTGGACATCTCCGCAGCATTGCCCCCGCTCGTGCAGGCCGCCGTCGCCAGTCACCACGAGGCCTTGGACCTCGTGACCTTCGTCCTGCTCCACTTCGGCCTGCTCACGGCTTACCAAGGTGAAAGCCTTGACCCTGACAGTCATTGGCAGAGTCTGATCCGCAGCAGGGTGGCCGCCAGTGAGCCTTTCCAGTCACTGCTTTTGGCCACCCGGCCGGATTTATGATGAATTTATGGAATCAGGATCCAACTCCCGTCGTGCGTTGAAAAGTGATGACACGCGACTTGATTGTAATATGTGTTGACGATGTGTTGGCGAAGGGTTGACGCAATGTTGGCACACATGGATTGGATTTGAACATATGCAGCTGGGTGGGACAGAATCGGACAAAGCAACGGGGCGGCTTCATATATGCGGAATTACGCGGACTCTCAGTGGCCACTGTTCGGAATTTGTTCGAGCCCTGCGGCAATCTGCGACATCTGTCGATTTCTGTTTGGGTCGGCCCGGCTTATCATGGATGGTCATGGATCACCCCAGGGGGGTGCTCGGGCATGAAACGAGGTTGATGCGATAACCCCATCGCAATGTTAATCTGTGTCCTCAAGCCCGATTTGTTTTCGCACGCTCCCCTGCACTTCAGGCAGAGACAGAGGCGGACTTCACTGCAGCTGAGCAGGCTGCCTTGCCCAAGACACCTCCTGTGGGCTCGCCAGTTCCCAGATGCATTTTGGCCAGCCGTTCTCCGTCAGTTGGGGGCATGGCCGATGAAGCCAGGAGATTGCATCCAGGAGCTGGAGTGTTCTCCCTCTTTGGGCCGTGTGTGCTTATTGTGTGCTTGCCGACAACTGCAAGCGATCCAGATCAAATCAAGTGGATGGGCCTGCGCACGTTCGAGTCGCCGGCTAAGCGCAAGCATATTCTCGACGGCCTCAGCAAGTTGTGGCAGGAGGAAGTTGCGTCCGTGCAAAAGAGAAGGCTTGCAGGCATGCGCCAGTGAGACCGAGGGGCAGCTGTGCAGCCTGCCTGAAGTTTCTGTGTATTTCTGCACGCTTTTCTCTTCTTAACTCACTACTTCAACTATCACACTGGCATTCGTGTAACACACTGTTCACGTTGTGTACATATGTGATCATATGTGTACCTTTTCTTTTTCCGGGGCCTGCTTATGGCAGGCACCGTCGAGTTGGAGCTGGCAAAGGTGGGCTTCGTGCCAAGAACGGGGTCTGCCGAATCTGTCAGCCTGTTGCCCGAGACGCAGCTTTGGTACGACCGCATGTGGGCTGGTGCCGGCAGTCGCCTTCTGCTGCTCGAGCGGGAGCAGCTCGACGGAGACAAGCTGCGCATCTGCTCACCTTCAGACCCCCTGGAGATGGCCGCGCCAGTCAATGCCAGCCGGCTGCCGTCAGCCTCCGTCGTGGACAAGCTCCCGCCGCTGCTGAAGTTGGCTTGGCAGTGCGAGGAGCGCAGCGTCAGGGCGGCTGAGCTCGCTGCGGACAGCGGAGACATGCGGAGACACATGCAGACTGTTGGAGCGTTTTGGTATGTTTTGGTACGTTTTGGCGCGTTCACTGAGGGGTGATGCTTGGATGGTTTTGCCATGTTTTGCCACAACGATGGAAGTTATAGCTGAGCGCAAATTATGACAAGCCACAGATAGCCACAGGCCACGCACAACCAACACAACCAACACAACCACCACAACATACCACAACCACAACAACAACCACAACAACAACCACCACCACCACCACCACAACAACAACAACAACCACAACCACCACCACCACCACCACCACCACCACCACCACCACCACAACAACAACAACAACAACGACCACACATTTGACTGGACCTTCATGGACCTTCTGCCCTCGGGCCAGTCACTGCATGCCATTGCGCTCTTCCTCAGGTGTGCTTGCTGCGCTCGGCAGTCCACCCGCAGCGCTGTGGTGTGTTCCCAGCTGTCGACTTGAAGAAGGGAGACGCTCGGCTGCTCTCTGCGGCCCGTGTTCCTGCTTGTCCACTCACATCGGGTTACGGTAGAGGCATGTCGAATCATGTAGAGGCAGCCCCGCCTTGACACATCTTGACAATTCTTGACATATCTGGGCAGTATCTCTGACAGTCGTAGCTGGCACATCATAGCTGCACGCAGTCCTGCTCAGAACAACATGGAACACACGCTCAGTAGTTTGCCTTCGCCAGGATGTCATCCTGGAGCTTGACTTCGGCTTCCGGCTGCTATCCGATGTTGACCGCAAGGCGCCCCTGTTCCTGGTGAATGTCTTGAAGCCGTCGCAGGAGCGGGTGACACACCGGTGGGCAGCGCCAGTCACGGGAGTCAGTCACTGGCAAGACAGCGCCAGGCCCCACGCATCAGATGCACCTGGCGACAGTCCAAGGGCGCAGTCTCGGCCGTCAGTCAGCTGTTGGCCTCCGCAGATGTGGCGGCCTTTTCGTGCGAGATACCGTCGCCCGCAGAGCCTAAGCTGGACAGTCTATGTCTCTTGCCTTCGCCCACACAGACTACCCTGCCGGTCCCTGCGCTGAAGCGGCAGAAGGTCAAGCCAGAGCTAGCAGCGGAGGAGCCAGCCTGGCCAGTGGTGAGTGCAGCTGAGGGGGCCGCCAGTTCACAGCAGCAGGTGGTCAGGAGCGAGGTCGCTGGTCCCAGCCCACACGGCAGTCACCCGGAAACTTCCAGTTTTACTGTCAGGGTGGCATGCTGCAGGCCAGGGCCTTGGGAACCAGGCGTCGGATTCCTGGCGGGACAGTCATATGGGCATCCAGCCGCGGTGTGCCCAAGGACAGCGCACAGGAGCCCTCTGACACGGGTCTTGAGCCGCTGGCATGGACTCCCAGCAGTCGAACGAAAGCCTTCTTCATCCAGAAAACCAAGCCCAGTCAGAAGGACGCTGTGGCCAGTCGGAGATGTCGTGAAGGCCATTCACGGGATGCAGGGAGGGGGAGCTGACTGCCAAGAATCTCAGCCGTCGCAAGTCCAAGCTCGTGTGGTGCTGGCAGCCAGCCGACGGTGCCAGGAGTGCCGACAGTGCCAAGAGCGCCAGCGATGCCGACAGTGCCGACAGTGCCTTCGCCGCCTACTACGAGGAGAAGCCAGCTTGTGTGAAGGACGCGTTTGCACTTTGGCAGCATTTGGCAGCGCTTCATGTTACATCCACTCAGCAGTTCTATTGATGTTGCATTCCCGTTGCATTCCCGCCCACTCGCCCAGCCCAGCCCAGTCCTCCACCCAACTATAGACTTGTGCCAGGTGACCGAGCTCGATGGCAAGAAGCGGCTGAAACCATGCGCAGTCGCGCTCTACACGACGAAGTCCTTGACCATCGACAAAGGTCAGTCCAGCATGGTGCTCGGGGCAAGCGGGGAAAATGCCGAAGAAGACGACGCGAAGGACGTGGACTGAGGCAGCATGAGGCAGCCGGCATCAGCCGGCCTCCGCATATCTTCGCATGCCTCCGCTGAGGCTGACAGTTTTGAATGATTTGTGTCAGCGCGCGGGCGGAGGATCGTGTTGAACTGTCGCCTCGGCTGGCCATGATTGCCCACGCTGTCATTCATTGTCATTCTCTTGTTTGCTCATGTTTTCCAGCATATGTGTTGACTTGCGGGTTCAGTTTGTTGGCCAGCTTGGTGCGTGCGCTCGCGCCAGTCAGTCCAATGTAATACTGGAGGACTGCTGGCAGAGGTGCCAAAATAAGACTTCCAGATATTTCCAGACGCTTGGCCATTAATGACATGCTACTCATGGCGTATCATGGCATTCCGGATTCCAGGCTTTGCTGTTCTTATGATGTTCTTATTCGTTCCTCCAGCGAGCCCATGCGCGCCCGAAGAAACATTTTGTGGCGATTTCTGGAAGTGGGCTGAAGCACTCCAGTATACGCCAGTGCTTCAGGCTGGCATATGATTCTTTTGTGTGTGACATTGTGTGACTGTGGGCGCAAGTCCTATTCAGTCCTGGTCGCTGAACATCCCCGTAGGGATGCGGAGCGTGTGACATGTCAAAGGAGTGCCGCGTAATAGCCAGTCAATGCCAGTCATGTTGGGCATTACTGAATATTGCATTATTTGCATGAGTATTGCTATGAGTGGCTGAGTATTGCTGAGCAGTGGCTCCAAGGGGGACAGGATGGGAAAGGTGCCGTTCTTGATATTTCTTGATCATCATGGTGCTGTCGTGCCTTGCGCGGCGCAAGCGCGTCGAGCCGGCGGGGCAGGTCCGGGGCAGTCAGTCCATAGGTCAGTCCGGGGCGAGGTCGCGCAGCTCTGCAGCCAAGTGGTGGCAGTCCATGGCCCCTAAGAAGCGGCTTCTCAGCAAAATGCCCGAGCCGCACGTGGGGCAGCCGCTGGTGGTCAAGCAGCCGGCCGTGGTCACCCGCCCCTCCAAGGCCAGACGATCCAACAAATGACCAAGACATGTCAAAACATCGCAAAGACTGGTAAGATCTGGTAGTAGAGGGGTGATGTATGTTGAAGCGGTGGTAGGTTGATTGAAGTTCTGAGTTTTCCTGAGTGTTGGCTTTCAGCCATTTTCAACATTTTTCAACATAGATATTCCGGATATTTCATGCGCGCAATGCAGCATTCGCCATGCCACCCGCACATGGCCACACCATGATGCGCCACATTATTATTTCCCACCAGCCGTTTTGGAGCGTTTTGGATATGTTTACTATTGTTTCCGGAATCTTGGCTCTGAGTATCTTTGAGTGACGCAGGTTCAGGTCCGGCTCAGGCTCACACATGCTCACACCAATTCACATCATGTTCGCGCCCGTGCTTTGCAAGGAGCTAAAGATGAAGCCGCGCCGTGCGGCGCCGGCAGTCATCCTCAAGACCGGCGCGGATCTTCGGGCCGAGCTGCAGGCCCACCAGTCCGGCGTGTTCCTCGATCTCTTTTGCGGGACTGGGCGCGCGGGCACAGCCTGGACATTGTCCGGGGCTACGACCTCATAGACCCAGACCTGTCGTCAGTCATCTGCTAGCTCATTTTGGACGGGCACGCGCGGCTAGCCTGCAATTATAGCCAGATTGCAAACTCTGGAACCGCTGTGGTCTTGCATTTGCAACCAAGTGCCACTCGGCAGTTTCGATGTTTGATTCATGTTGGTTTCATTTTGGCTCCATCATGCCCCAGTGTCCCATCTCGGACGATGTTTGCTGCGCCTGCTTCGAGTACTCAACTTTGTTGAGATGGGTTGATTGAGTTATGCTGAGTTGTGTTCTGAATCAGCAAGCACAAGTTTGCTGTAGATATGCTGTAGATTGCGGGGTTCAGCTGGCACATTTTTAATTCTTGTTGAAGTCAGCTTGAGTGCCGGAAGATTATCGGAGCTTGTCCGGCCGAGGTCCGGCCTGATGATGGCGCCGCCGTGCTCGACACTCAGCCGGGCTAGACGAGGTCGCCGCGGGAAGGGCTCAAAGCGAGGCTGGCCGCGTCCTTGGGGGCTTCCCGCCCGCGACCTCACAAAGACATCTGCAAGATCTTCTAAGCGCTTTCAAGTGCTCCCAACATCCCTGCTATTCCCATGCTATTCCCTGCTAGCCCTCCGAGATCCTCTGACGTCTCTGAATATCTCTGAGCATAGAAGGATTTCGCTGCACGTTTACGCTGCTGTGGCTTTGACATGTTTTGACATGTTCTTTTTCGCACGATAAGCATGCTGTCACCGAGGTCAAAGAGCCAGCTGCCAAGGTCCTGTACTTCACCGAGGAGACGTTCCAGGCAGCAAAGACGCGCTCCAGTGCCATCCGCCAGTATGTGCAGGCGCTGCGAGGTTTCTATGAAAAAGACCACGGCCCCCTGGACCTGAGTCGCGTTTCTGGCAGTCCAACTTGGGACCAGCTTCTCGCAAAGGCCCCTGGGTTTTTTCAGCAGCGGCATCACGCGCTCACCGCGAGTATGGCCAGTCATGTCAGCCACAGCAAGGCGACGTTCGGGCCGTCGGTGTCAACTGAATTCCAAAAATGCCTGGCCCAGCCAAAGGCTTTCATGCGCCTCCTGCGTGATATCGCCAAGAGCGCAGTTATTGCGCTGCCAGCCAGCTGATGCAGCCCGAGTTTCACACAACGGCTTCACAGATAGTTACAGGGTCTCCATGAGTTTGATATTGAGTCAAATTGAGTCAAGCTTGTTTGAACAATGCCAGAAACAATCGGTAACATGATGGAAACATGTCAGTCAAAGACAAATTTAACGCAGAATTCCACTAGAATATGCTAGAACTCCACGGTCGGCTTGAAGCCATGTTTGGGGATGCGGGGATTAGTGCGAAGATGCGCGAAAGCTTCTGAGCACGTTTTTGGGGTTCGCGCCAAACGGCGCCTTCGCACACACGGCTTGGTCAAAATGTCCTTTTAGAAGATGTTTACAAGGGGTGAAAGATGCACTAGACTAAGATTTCCATAGGCTATCGTAGGCTTCCCATGCCCGCAACATGATTTTTGACCGTGGCTCGTGTGCCTCCAACTCAGTTCAGCCAGCGCGGGGGGCCTAAAAAGTCTCAAGCAGTTTGCGCGCAGACGCACGCACCGGGATTCGGGTGGGATTCGGGCATGAAAAGAATATGGACAGATATCGGAGCATCATCTATGGGAAGTCTCGAGAGGTCAAGATCTACTGCGGGTATGTTATGTTTAGGATATGTTTAGGGGTGGAGAAGAACCTGGAAAAGTACAAGTGGGGGGGCCCCCCCCCGTGGCAGGGAAGAATGAGTCCTATGCGTCGCCGCGCGTTTTTTTGCATTTGAGCACCACTTCATGTTACATGCTCATGCACTCACACACACACACCAAAACTCTATTCCCACATGGTGCTACAGAGATAATATGCGCTTACCATGCACAGGGATACTGCTGAATAAATAGACACTTGGTTCAAACATGTGTGTGCATGTTTCAATTTCAATTTCATGACCAGCAAAAGAAATGCAAGCACGCAGCTAAGTAATATTGTCCGTGGCCTAACACAGGGCACAGGCGTGCAGCTAGGTTCGATGTCAGGAGACTGACAAAGGCCACAGGTGCACAACTAAGTCCTGTTTGCTAAGTATTCTACTTATCATCAGTCTTCGAATTCATTCTTATCATTCTTCCCAAAGGGACGGGTGACTTTTGGGGAATTCAAATATTGTTTGTTTTAATCATTTTATTTCTTAGACTTGCTCTAAGTATTCGAACCACTGCTAAAGGGACGGGTGCCTTTTTTGGAATTCAAGAGTCCTCTGCGCTAACTGTTCTACTTATCATCAGTCTTCCAATTGTAATTGTTATTCCCAAAACAAACGGTGCCTTTGGGGAATTGAAGATTGTTTTTGCAAATTATACTACTTAGGAAACCTCTTGTAATTGTTTTTGTCATGAGTTCCAAAGGGATGACTTTGGGGAATTCAATATTCATGTTTGCTGGTTGCTTTTGTAAACTATTCTACTTATCATTACTCTTCTAATGCATTCTTATCATTCTTCCCAAAGGGGCACGTGACTTTTAGGGAATTCCAAATTCATGTTTGTTCTAATCAGTTCATTTGATAGACTTTCTCTAAGTATTCGAACCACTGCGAAAGGGACGGGTGCCTTTTTGGGAATTCAAGAGTCCTCTGTGCTAATTGTTCTACTTATCATCAGTCTTGAAATTATAATTGTTTTCCCAAAGGGACGGGTGCCTTTGGGGAATTGCAGATTGGTTTTGCAAATTATACTACTTAGCATACCTCTTCCAACTAGTTTTCTCATGAGTTCCAAAGTGATGACTTTGGGGAATTCAATATTCATGTTTGCTGGTCGTTGTTGAAAATTATTCTACTTATCATAACTCTTCTAATTCATTCTTACCATTCTGCCCAAAGGGACGGGTGACTTTTGGGGAATTCAAATATTGTTTGTTCTAATCAGTTCATTTCTTAAACTTGCTCTAAGTATTCGAACCACTGCGAAAGGGACGGGTGCCTTTTTGGGAATTCAAGAGTCCTCTGTGCTAATTGTTCTACTTATCATCAGTCTTCTAATTATAATTGTTGCTCCCAAAGGGATGGGCGCCTTTGGGGAATTGCAGATTGGTTTTGCAAATTATACTACTTAGCATACCTCTTCCAACTAGTTTTCTCATAAGTTCCAAAGTGATGACTTTGGGGAATTCAATATTCATGTTTGCTGGTCGTTGTTGAAAATTATTCTACTTATCATAACTCTTCTAATTCATTCTTACCATTCTTCCCAAAGGGACGGGTGACTTTTGGGGAATTCAAATATTGTTTGTTTTAATCATTTTATTTCTTAGACTTGCTCTAAGTATTCGAACCACTGCCAAAGGGACGGGTGCCTTTTTTGGAATTCAAGAGTCCTCTGAGCTAACTGTTCTACTTATCATCAGTCTTCCAATTGTAATTGTTATTCCCAAAGGGA